AAGAAGTTATGAATTTGGACATTATAGGTCATTTTGAAAAGTCAACAAAAACACCTTTTTTGTCAAAGCTTCATACATGAGCATGGAATATCAAATTGATATGAGACCAAAGGGTTGCTTAGATGACATCTCAAGATTTCTAAAAAGTCCAAGAACACCTTCAAAGATTCAAAATTGAGGAAGTTATGCATTGGTGAAGTTGGCCCTTTTTGCAAAATTGCCAAAAGTCAACTATGCCTTAAATTGCAATTTTTGCTAAATGGGCCTAACTTTTTGCACTTGTTTTGAGTTGGAACCATAGTCCACGAGCCCTATCCTTTTCCACCTGTCATTATCTTGTTTTTATTATTTATTTTGATTTTTATTTGAATTTAATCAATTTAAATCAAAACAAATAATAGAAAATCCAAAATATTGAAAACTCAAGATTTTGTACATGTTTCAGGTCTTAAATTCCAGATAGCATGAGATTGAATTGGTGTAAAGGCTTGGAGTGCACAAAAAGATTGGTTTTAGGCTATTTTTGGAATGATATTCAAGTGTATCAAATCAAAATCAAAAGCAATGATGGAGGAAGATTGTGATCACATTGACAACCCTAATTCATTCCTCAGTACATAGGGAGTGTGTGCAGACCTAAAACAAGGCTAGAAGGAGGCGTGAGCAACAAGCATAAAACTTGAAAAAAACAAGAAAAAGTGCAAACACGAATTCATACTTTGAAGCAATTTCAAGATCCTTTGACCATCCCAATCGCTTCCTGGGATCCCCAGCAAGCAAAACCAATCAAGAGCAAGCATTTCCAGGCCCTGAAACTCGCTGTAAGGCATTCACAATACCTAACTTTTCTTGAATTCAGTTTGCATAATTCTGGCACATATAGCATAATATAATCATATATTCTTGTTCACCATCACATTTGCAAGCTTTCTGTACCATTTAATTTCATTTTCATGAACTGTATTGGAGTTTGCCATTATTAGGGTTTACAAGCTCGCTTTGGGGTTTCTGAACCTAGGCAAAATTGGGCCATGAAAGAGGCACCATTGTGCTCAGCAGGGTCAAACAAGTCCATTCATGGCTTTGATAGTCATTTATCGCACTTGTATTTGATTTTGAGAAATTGCAGGGCTGTAGCGACGGACATTGTCCGTAGGTAAAGGTTTTCAAACCTTTTAGCCACGGAGAGAGGACAAGGATGATGGCGTGGCTTCATCTAATTCGTCCATTTGAATTTTTGCACGAATTTCTTTTATTGCATTTATTCTTAATATAATAATTGTTATTTGTTTTACATACAACAAAAGCAGCCAGCACAGTTGGTAAGTGGAGCGTTGGAAAGTGTTTCAGGGCCTGGGTTCGAATCCCAGGTCCCCCCATTCTTCATATTATTTTCCTTTTCAGGATCCAGCGTGCACCAAAGACCAAGGTCCATCATGGGACCTCATCATCCAGCCTGCCACGTGGCCAGATGGCCAGATCCAAAGGCCATCAATGGAAGAACACCATGAAGCATAGTCAACGCAAAGCATGTGATCTTGCAAGTCAACATGGACACCTTTGGTCTTGGGCCAGAAAATTGCTTCTCACACCCCCTCAAATTGCTGTTTTCAGGCCCAATCTCTTTATCTTTTCTTTTTACTTTTGTTTCATTTAATTTATTTATTTATTTTTACTAACAAAATTAATTTTCTTTTATTAAAAAAATCACAAAAATATTTTTCACCCAATTAGACTTAGGTTTATTTTTTGTCAATAACTTAATTAATTTAATTAGATTTTAATTTTAGGTAAACTTTAATTTCTTTTTTGTAAATAAATTTAATAATAATTAGAACAATTAGGGTTTTATTTATAACTTAATTATATTTTCTTTTCCTAAAAATAATCAAAACATAAAAATAGGCCATTTATTTATTTTCATTAATTAATTTAATTACTAATTAATTGTGTATTTAATTTTAAAACCTAATTCTTTTCTTAAAAAAAAACAATTAAAAACAACAAAAACATTTTTCTTTCAAATTAGGTTAGAAGGGGTCAAAACCCTAGTTCTCTCCCGATCTAATTTTCCTCGCGCGCGTTTTATTATTTATTTTTATCCTATTAATGTAATTGCTCACAAGTTCTAATAGTTTAATTAGGTCTTTTATTTTCATTTACCGCTTTATTTTTTAAGGGTTTGTTTTTGGCTATGTAAATACCCGAAGCCTTGTAATAGCGTAGTTTAATTTTCGCACTTTAAAATTCCGCAAAATATTAACTGTTAGATGTATGATATTAGGGATGCATGACAAGAATGTATGATTAACTTTAAAACAGTTAGATAACCCTAAAATGTGCAAAGATAATAATCTTGAAATTGAATCATTCGCACATGCGCACTCCTAGGGTACACTCTCACTTCGGTTGCCTTCGGTAAACGGTCATTAAGTATAGGATGCTTTAGTGGTCTTCCTTTTGTCTCAAAGATCAAAGTTTCCTCGGAATGGTTGCCTCGAATATTGTTGCCTCGAATAATTGATCTTAAGACATTAGGGTTATTACTAAGACGTCCTAACATTTCTTTAGTGACCGTACGTCCCTTTCGAATTGACCCTCAAAACTCCAACGACGGTACTACCTACTCACTAATAGTGGGATAACACTGTCTAAAGGAAATGAACATAAAACAATTCTTTTTTCGTGTAGGTATATTAGTTCTTAAGTACTTGCTCAATCAAAACAAACTTTTTCACACTTAGACTCCTTTACAAACAAAGTTTTCAAAAAAACACTTCGTAACACTCTTGAAGACAGAAGCAAGAGTTAAATCGAAGTCAAAACAAAAACTTTTCAAACCACACAAACACAAAGAAGCAATTTTGAAAATGATGAGCAAGTACCTAAGAGCCCGTAGATAACTACGGATAGAAAGGGTGCTAATACCTTCCCTTTCTATAATCTACCCCCCGTACTCAGAAAATCTCGAAAAAGGAATTTTTCTGTGCTTTTTTCCTTTCCTTGTTGGATAAAATAAAAGTTGGTGGCGACTCTTGCTTACCGCGAAATTTTGCGAACACAAACGCAAAACGCAAACCAGCATTCCTAAAAAACAGTCCTGGTTCTGGCCACCGTATCACAAAGCCTGTACACCTTTCTCTATTCGTTATGTTTCACAAACCCAAATGGTTGTTTAGCATAAGCCTCTTTGTCTAAGGGTCCATTTAGGAATGCACATTTCACCTCCATCTGACATATGTGCCAAATGTTTATTTCTGCAAGACCAATAACCAACTTGATTGTTTCGATTCTAGCCACAAGTGCAAAAACTTCATCGAAGTTTAATCCTTCTTTCTGGAGAAATCCTTCCACCACGATCCTCGCTTTGTGTTGAGTTATTTCCCATTTGGGGTTCATCTTCACTTTGTATACCCACTTGACATCAATTTCCTTCTTGCCTTGAGGCAATTCGACAAGTGACAAAGTATTGTTGTCTTCGATGGACATCACTTTTTCATTCATTGCTTTCACCCACTTCGAATCCTTCAATGCTTTAGCCACATTGACTGGTTCAACATCTTAATAAAAATCATAATGTACCAGCTCACCTTCGTTATCAACCACATTATCTGATGTAATCATACAATCTTACAACTTTACATGCATGTGTCTTATTTAGAGCTGTCAAAATGGGTCCGGTCAATCGGGCCATCCCATAAGCCCAATAACTTAGCATGGGTCGGGCCACAAAATACCTTTAAAAATAGGACCCTATCTTTTTGGCCTAATCCATCGCGCCTATGTTTTTCATTATGGCTATCTTGAGGCTCTTTCCTTCAGAATTAAGGTTCTTCATTCGTTACTTGTGTTACAAGTTCTATCATCACTTCTTGGACTTTCTTACAAAGGCCTGACTTTCACTAGAAGCTTCCTTTTATATGATGAGCATTTGGTTTTGTTCATTAAGGATTGAATTTGATTTGGAATTGTCGTTTGGTTGGTACACGTTCAAGTTTTATAAAGGTATTTAGTTGAATCAAGATAGTTTGAAGCTTGTAAAAAATAGATTGAAATTGGATTATTTGGATTTTCTAGAAGTACAAGTTAAACATGGATTTGATAATTAAATATTTGGTTTTGATTGTTGTTAACTTGATACATCAAATATAATTTGTTCAAGAGAATATGTGATTATGATGTCAAGAGTTAATTCAAGCAAGAAACACATATTTTAGTTCAAAAGAAACCTTGATTTCAAGTTGCCAAGTTTTTCTTATCAACTTCTAAGCAAGGATTCAAATGAATTTCAATTCAAATATTTCAAAATTCAAATGAATCTTTAGGAGGTTTAATTTCCAATCCTAGAACCAAGTTCATTCAACATTCCAATAAGATGCAAGTTATGATATTCAAAATCGTTTCTTCTCATTCTTGCTCAAGAATTCAAGGTTACAACAAAGCATCATTTTTGTTTAAGTTTATAAGTCAATTTGAATACACTTATTACAATTCTTGAAGTCTCAAAATTCAAATCACAAGTTGAAATCACAATGTTACAAAATTTTCTAATGAATACAAGTTTGTTCTAAAAATTACAAATATTTCCTCTTTATCTTCAGGGTCCTTCGAGCGCTTCAAGTCTCTTCCATCTCTTTCATCCTCTTCACCAACTTGCTCCATTACTCGTCATATTTTGTTATTCATTCATGAAACAAGAAAAGGAAATGGTTAGTAAAATAATCAAAACTTGAATGATAAACAAAGAAAAGTTTCCAGAAGTTTTCTCTTCAATCTTATCATAAGGGTTTGCGAAGGAATCAAATTAACTTTGGTTTTCAATCACATTCAAGCCGCAGCCAAGGCCTCATACAATTTGTTTCACAACAAATTCAGAATTGCATTTCAAGTCATAGGCCTATCTCCTCTATTGTAAATCACAAAAGCCCATTTTGGTTCACAAAAAGAGGTTCACAAATACAAATAGAATTCACATTTCCAGCCCAACAAAGCATCACAGTATGGAAAGAAGCAGAATTGCAAAACCAGTCCAGCATCACAATTACGCACAAACAAATCACAAGTCAAAATTCAAGTTCATCCCAACAACAACAAAGCAATGTATCAGTAAATACAAAGCAGCAAACATAAATCATGTCAACATAACAAAATTTGAAGTAACATATCTGAAAATGCTTAAGCCCAATACAAATTCGTTCCAGGCCTGTTATCAAAGTTCGGAGCAACACAACAGCAAAACCCTAATACTATCTCACTATAAAAGCAATCATTGCACAAAAATCAAAGAGGAGGCCACTATTCACACAAAAACCCTAAACGGCTGCAAGAAGCTTTCAAGGATAAAACCCTAATCATTATCGTCATCTTCCACACAAAACCCTTCAGATTTTGAAAATAAACCAGAGAGAACTGTTCACAGAAGTAATAACATCAGCAAGCTGTCAAGCTAACCCCAACCTTAAGTTTTCATCATTTTCGCTAAACACAACCCTTTAGATTTTCAGACCGAAAAAGAAGAAGAAGAAAAAAGTGAAAAAACAAAAAGATCTCAGCAGAGTAAAATCAGAAGTTGTGTTATCGTCACTGATCGCCCATCATCATCGCCAATTTTCACGAATCTGAGGCCAGGGTTTCAAAAACCCATTTTAAGATCTAGGTCAGATCTTTCATCCCTTGCAAAATGAAGCATCATATTAGAGCAGAGGAGATAAAGACGAAGTAGATAGTGTAAAAATATCAAAGATCAGAACAAAGACGTTGTCGACCGTTGTCGCCACCGCTGCGGGAGATTTCCGGCGAGAGTTATATGAAGAAGACAAAAGAGAGAAAAAACAAAAAGAGAATACATAACTTTTTTCTCTCTGTTTGTTTTACTTTTATTTATTATTTAACATAAAATTAAATTGTTTTTTTTGTTATTTAACTCAGGGACCAGTACAGTGGTGTCAAGTGTCGCCTCCTTTGGGACACTTCCCACCGTTCAGGTGGAGGACGGTAGATCTCATGCACACCGCCCAGTTTTTATCATGCACCCCTATGATTCTCTGCCATCTGATCACACTCAAATCAAGATCCAATAGTCTAGAACTGATTTCTACGCTGCACACTCCTGAGGCTGCACACACTGGATCAATCAGAATCCCTTATCATGGGCCTAGTGAATTCAGACTTGCACCCCCCGATTGCTGATTTCAGGCCCATTTTCTTTATTTCTTTATATTTTACTTTTAAGTATTATTTGTTTTATCAAATTAAAATACAAAATACTTTCTTATTTTAAATAAATGATTATATTAAAAAGTTAAATTTAATATTATTAATTATTTTGTTAATTAATTTTATTAAATAAAATGAGTTAATTTATTTAGTTATTTAAATTAGTTCAATTGAGTTGTATTGCTTGTTTATTTAGACTTTTAATCGCGTTGTGGATTTGATACGTCCCGATTCGTAAACTTGTACCCTCATTCCCATATTGTTTGTAATAGCTTAGAATTTTATTTATTTGTTATTTCTTTATATGTTTAAATATTACTATTATGCTTACTCGTTCAATTAGAACACTTGGCCTCCTCTTGGGCTCGTCATCAATGAAAAGGTATCCACCTGCAAATGCACAGTTGCACAGATTCTTAGTTTGGTCCTGGGTTTTTATAAAGCGACAACTATTCGATCGATTGTCCTAATTGATCGTCTAGAATACTAGTGCCACGCTAGTCTCACTTTATAGGAGCATGCATATAGCCACCTTGTATGGGCTTTTAATTTCCATCTTATGCATCGAAGCAACTTCTCTCTCTCTCTCTCTCTCTCTCTCTCTCTCTCTCTCTCTCTCTCTCTCTCTCTCTCTCTCTCTCCTCTTGGTCCACATACCAAGCATTCTCTTAAATGGTCTCATAGTTGAGTTTGGGCATGGCCATTCTCACGAGATTAATCAAGTTTTTCCCTTGATTAATCATAACCTGAATCAACCACTTTGGTCCATATACCAAGTGCTCCATGCAAAAAGGGTCTCATGGTTAAGGGTAGGAGCACCGACTCTCACGAGATTAATCAAGTACACCCCTTGGTTAATCATAACCCGATTCAACTCCCATACACCAAGCATTCCATTTATCTTATGGACACTTGTGATATGATCTTGTGATCGATCTTAGATGCAACCCGAGTATGCCTAATTGATGGTTAATTGAGGAGGTCCAAGAAGGAGTTTTATAGAGTTTTCTTATCTCATGCATTTTTAAGGGGCAACGGACCTACTCCGTTAGGTAACATCGTGACTTCATTCTTCATTTCCATATTTTAATGCTTTCTAGAGATCATGTCAAATAGGATCTTGCCGATTTCCTTGTCATGTCAAGCAGGAATAGAGATGCACGAAAGGGACCTCCATTGCTGATATCTGTCAGGAATCCCTCTGGTTTATTTAAAGACCTATTTAAAGCAATTATGCACATGTGCCTTGTTTGCTACTTGTGTTTGTTTAAAATCTCACATTTGAAGTAGGTATTCTACAGGTGTGTTTACATTTGTGTTCACATGTCCCCCACCCCAATAAGTCCTCAAAAGGAGGCGAGCGAAAAGGGTTCACAATCGACCCCTGCATTTCATTCGTGTCATCCTTAGCTAATGTTATACATTGAAGCTTTGGGTTTGTGCAGATCATGTGAATAGAGTCGGTAGAGTGTAAAAGGGTTCCGCAATCAAAACTCCACATTTTGTACGGAGTGCGCAATGGCCATTGCTGACACTTTGCTACCCGCTTGTTTTCTTTGGATGATCCGCTCCCCTTAACTAAAGTAATGCTTTTATTTTTTATTTCATCTCAATCTCCTACTTGTTTGCTTCGGGTGATCCGTTCCCCTTAGATAAAGCGTTTCTCTTCATACCCCCATCCCTTGAGTCAATATACGTTAATTGTGTGCTTTTTCCAAAGCACTTGCTTGATATGCCTTAATTCCCTTAGGATCGCTTGATTAGAGTGGCTTTCAAGCTAGACATTAGGATAAGGTATCCATGCATGCTAACATAGGGTAGATATTTCCCTCTCAAACTCAACCTTAGGGTTTATCATTGTATGATTACTCTAGGGCTTGAGATTAGGATAGTCTCTTTTGTACCCAAAAATTTCCCCTCCCACTTTTATACAAAACATACTCCTAGAGGTCCTCAATTGCTCAAGTTGACTAAGGATTGACCAGACAAATCCTCCTCCTAAGATAATGAGCCCCAAACTAGGGTTTCACTCCTCATCAAGATTTTTTGATTTCCAAGGGTCCTAAGTGGTTTCCATTACCCTAGTAGGTCCTCAAGATCATCCATGTCAAGTTTCATGCCTTGCACAAGAAGTTTGCTCAGTCAACTGCTCAAATGCCTGAAAATCAACTATACTAGGTCAAAAGTCAACTGTGACCCACATACAGTCAAACTCTAAGATTTTTGGTCAACATCAACATTTTTAAGTAATATCCATCATTTGATCAAGGGTTAATCATGATTCCTCAAGGAATACTCCTAATTCATCAAAACTCAAAAGTTGCTAAATTAGGGTTTCCATAGGAAAAGGCAACCAAACTTTGACCAGGCATAAATTTCTCGTACTTTATCAACAATTTCTCATCCAAGGATCATTTTGAATATAATCCAATTCCCTATAACTCATCTTCATCCCTCAAGTTCAACAAATGTATCCATGAAAATATATAAATTCAGACATTATAAGTCATTTTTAAAAGTCAACAAAAACACCTTTTAGGTCAAACTTCTTACATGAACATGGAAGATCCAATTGAGATGAAACAAAAAAGGTTGTTTATAAGACATCCTAAGCTTTCTAAAAAGTCCAAGAACACACTCTTAGGGTCAAAATTGATAGAGATATGCATTGTCAAAGTTGGCCATTTTTAGAAATTTGCACAAAGTCAACAATGCCCAAAATTGCATTTTTTCCACATGGGCCCATCTTTTCAAGATTGAATATCAGTCCTAGCATGGTACACAACCTATGGGACCCTCTATGCCTTATTCACTTATTTATTTAATTTATTTTGATTTAATTTATTTAAAATTCAAATAAAATCAAGTTAAATCAAAGATAAATCAAATTTGTGGAATGAGATTTGTTTTGGATTAAATTATAGATCTCATATGCTGTCAATGGCCAAAACAAATCGTGCAAGCTCCAAAACAAGAGGAAATCTCCAATTTTTGAAAGATTTGAATCAAAATTCAAAACCATTACATCTTTGGATTTTTTCTAATTCTATTGACCTAATCTGATTCACTACTTATAACAATGCATTGCAACCCTAGAGAAGGGAATTTCATGCGCAACCAGCCTAAAAAAGAGAAAGAAAAAGCTTCCAAAAATTCAAAGAAAAACTCAAATCGGATTCCACATTGCAGCCCTCCTCAAGGGGATTTGAAGGTTGAAATACGTTCCTTGGTACTCCCAGAAGCCTTTCCAATCGTTTCCCAGCATTAAAGCTTCCAGAATCACATCATCCACACCCACAGTTTGCTCGCTTTTTCTCAAACTCGAATTCATTGATTCATGTACCATAAACTTGTTTTGATCACATATTATTGTTCACATGAATGTGTACAAGCTTTCTGTATAGTTGAATTTGTGTTTAGATGCAGGATGCGTGATACACCATTGCTAGGGTTTTGAGGTCCCAAATTGGGAACTCTGTACACAGGCGAAATTGAGCCAAATTAAGGGTCCATTCATGTTCAGGTGATTGTTTCCAATTGATTCTGCCCTTGGTTGGGATTTATTCTGCTTGAATTGCATTTTAGAGTTTTGCAGGTTTGTAGCCACGCACAAGAACTGTCGCTATAGCCTATAGTGACGAATTGGACTGTAGGTAAAAGCCCTTTCTAAAACAATAGTCCCTGGGGAAGAAGATGAGGGCGTGGCAACATACCACTGGCCCATTTGAAATTCACGCATTTTTCTGGGTGCACTACCTTGTTTAGATTATATTTTATTTTATTTATTATGTTAACAACTAAGCCTTCCAGTGCAGATGGTCCAGGAGCGAACGTGTGAGGCAAACGTCCCGGGTTCGATCCCAGGTGTATGCATATTATTTTTCTTACAACTTCTTTGCAGATCCAGCGCATCTCACAACTAGGCGTCCATCATGCACCTCCAGATCCAGCCATTGGATCTTCCCAACATCAGATCCAGCGTCCAATCAACCAATCCCCATGGTAAACCCTCCACAGGCTAATGACACTGGATCAGGCGCACCCTTGGGCCAACTATTATGGGCCTAGAAAATTCAACCATGCACCTCCCAGAATTACTTTCACACCAGGCCCATTTTTTTTCTTTTTTAATTTC